ATCCCACTTAATCTCCTCGTAAATTGTCATTAACTTCTTTGATTAATATAAGTAGGGTGTCATGATGGCCTCAATGTAAAAATGAATTCTAGCGAAAATAAGACCTTTTTATTATTAAGCTAAACAACCATGAGTATGTCTTGAAGGTCAAGCCAAGTCTGACAATCTATATAAGTTAGCGAATCAGTCGTCGCCCGACTCGTGGTTCCCCTCGTTGAGGTATGGTGTTGGTTTTGCGGGTAGAGGATGGCGGTTTCGAGGTGGTTTGCACTTGCTTTTTTGATCTCTGACAGCACATTATGGATTTGTTGAAGCATTTTTAAATTATGAAGTAAGGATTTTCAGGACATGTTCATGATCAAAGAACCACGACCTTAAAGTGGTTACTTGATGCCTCTTTACCTATAGAACAAATTTACTTACGTCACACATGTATTTGCTGCATTATAGTTAGTCCCATACGTTTGCGCCAGCATAAATTACGAAATCTGCTTTCTATCGTGCCTATTTTGCTTTGGAATGTGGATCCTTGTCCAGTTAAACAGTTGTAAACTTTTAAGACGTTTGTTACTTTGTCTGTTTGTTTCGTGTAGTAGTTGTTGGTGAGGGTTGCTGTTTGTGTGACACTGTGACTTTGTTATCGATAATGAGAATCACTAGTGGTCTTACGCTGAAAACGCCGATACTTTTAGCTTCTTCTGAATGCAGTTTTGTGCTTTCGTTAGATTTATCAGGAAACTGTCACGCACAATAATCGATGATTAAAAATAATGGATTAGATTCTTATGTGAGTGGAGGCGGCATCTTCAACCATGCTGAGGAAGTCCCCTGTCTTGATGCTGTATCTCCAAACCGCTCTGATGAGGTCAACAGCCTTAAATCTTGCATCCTAAACCGACTTCGGCGTCACTGTGCCAAATCTCTCATGGGTCCCTGGGCGAATCCACAAAATGTGGACATTAAAGAAGTCGGGTATGTTTCTCTTAACTTCCTTCGGGCTTGTGATTTTCGGTGACTCAAACTTGCGCTTGTTGTAGTATATGTTTGGACCAAGGCTTTTGGTTCGTTCTGCCTGCCGCTTTCCCTCAGTATACACGAGGTGTAATTGTGTGATCGGACGGTCTGAATGGGAAAGCCACGGTGGCGTGATACGTGAAACGAATGACTCATCATACAGCGTGCAGTCGCTGTGGCTTTCGTAAAGAGGTCTCTTTCACATTTTTAAGATTACGCAAAGTAGCTTCGTGTGTTTAACAGCTAAGCTAGATCAGGCGCGCTTTAGTTTCCTTCTTTATTGATTCTAAGGAGCTATGGTTTTATGTGGGTAACGTTAAAAAGAGGAATTTTAAAATAAAGGACTTAGTCGCCTGCCATTCTTAATTTTTGACTCCGTTGTACACTCTTATGTAGAGATTTACATATTTCAACTTCAGATGTCCATACCTTCCCACAACCTTTTTAGAGGAGGCCTCAGCAATTACTTATATGTGGCCAGTCTAAAAGTCGGCTCTGGCGACTTCAGCAATACGATCCCCACGAAAGTGTTCATCCGCGTCTACGGTGAACTTCTGCGCAGTAACATGAATACGATCATCCTTGATGCAGTCCTGTTTGCCCTCCTCTCAGAGAAGCGTCTTGGCCCCAAACTCTACGGTGTCTTTCCTGGGGGTCGAATTGAAGAGTTTGTTGAGGTTAGTATTTTTCGATTGCCGTGACTTTGTGTTTGGGTGTCCACGTTTGAACATAATTAGTTTCTGTCTCTGAAGGCTAAAGCCGCTAATTGAGTTCGTTTTAGTGACTTCATACCACATGTACTTGGTCCGAATAGCAAGACGATAAGGTTGGATCTATACAGAAGTATTTTTGTACTAAACGCCATTGTGTGCTTATCAATAGTTTAAATGTCTAAGACGAGCAGAAAGATCCCCAATTGTTATAGTGTGAGTTCCATGGTATGAGAACTGTATTCACATGCATGAATAACTACTTATTTCTTCTCAAAGAACGGAATGATTAACGGTTAAATGAATATATCTTGGCTAGAATTGAATCGAAACTCCAGAACTGTTAATTATAAGGATCGGTTGGGGTTCATGAAGTCTGTTAAGCTTACGTGGTCAGATGTTTACGTTTATTGTTTTCTAGCGTTTTAGTTATCATTATTGGGGTATGCGCAGCAAAGCACGTTACTCTGTGATGCTGTTTTGCACAATGTACCAAAAATATTGGTCATTAATTCATCTTTCTCATAACTGATATCCACTGAAAAATTTTTCCTGAGGAATAAACACATTTTAATGACATCCATTTGAAATTCAGATGAAGCACTGCGGTCCACACACCGTGTCCAGTGTAGGAAAGAACGGCGTGTATTTACTCGAGTGTATGGCAGCTCAAGGCAATTTGTGCCTTACTGGGAATTGTACTGCATAGTTCTGGCGCTTCGTGGTACCAAAACGTATATAATCATGTCGGTTCTTTATCTAAGCATCCTCAATATTTATTTTAAAGCAGTTTCATTGCGAGTGAATGCTTACTATTCTTCTATTCGTGAATTTTTGATATTTACTCAGAATTGATGTGCACTTTGGAACGTCCTTATTCTACGAGGGGGTGCGCAAAATGATCCAATTTTAGACGTAAGGATCCGAGTCGAGTGGCAGACAGCGTTCGAATTTTGTACGGACTGTTTTTCGCTCTCAGATGCTTTTTTTGGCAAAGGACGTAGTAAGGTCCAAGCTTGCGGGACCAGTGGTAGTACCTTATTTTGCTGCGAAATATTAACCATCTTTAACTTATGTTAGCGAGCCAAATATGTCTGGAAAATCTTTCTTTTAATGGATTTTTTTCTTACTAATGGTGTTCATCGTGCCGTGTTTGCTCCACATGAACAAAATCAGCATAATTTAGTCGCTTTTTGGCGTCAGACATCTGAATGTGTGCAGTCGTCCTCTTCTTGCTGAACCTCCGTCATTCCGACCGCACAATAATAAAATAATGGTTTAAAACTTCCATCTCACTGATTGAATATTTTTGTGGCCCCAGTGCTAAATTGTTAAGTAATGCTTGTTTGTTTGATTCTAGCGAACCCCTGAGCCCTCCTCCTTTGACATCCTCGGCAAATATTCCTTACCACATGTTGCTGAACTTTGTTAACCTGGCCTTTCTGCAAACCAGTATACTTTCTTTTCCTCTTTTTGCAGATTGTGACAGTTAATCTCTAGAAAATTACAAAAGATGTTGACTTTCGGTTAGATAAAAAATACTCATTTTCTCCAGACTACTGGCATTTGTCTCTACCGGATTCGGCATGTGGTTCGGGTTAGACGAATTCGCACAATCATAGAGCAAGAGAGCAGTTGATTCGAGCACCCATTTTCGCGGCTAAAGGTCTCCATGCTTTTGTAACTTTGGCAAAAATTGGTACTTCGATCTGAGGCCTCTGATAAATAAGCTGTCTAGAACAGTAGTTACTGTTGTGCAGGATTTCGGAGCGACCTGAGAGCAATGTTTTGTGGCTTCAATTATGCATGCCTCACTTCTTATGATTCTCATTTGATTGCCAAACTCGTACATGAATTTCGCCCCATCACATGACTGTGCTCATAGCTAACAAATTATAAGGTTGCATTTATCCCTTACATCACTGGTACGACACCTAATTCCGCCTTTGTTCAACCAGATTTCGCGAAGTATATTTTCCCTCGTTACTTTACATATTTTATGCTATTAAGAGCTGCCAATAAGGGGTTAAATTCCTCGTTAAGGCGTAAATTGTATCATGATCTTAACTGGATCTAATGGGTCTTGGCACTTCTATGCAAACATCAAGACATATTGCGTAATTAGAGAGTCGCATTCCGTCAAACCTCCGAGGTCAATTTTCGACTCACCATTACAAATGCATTGAATTGTCTCCATTCATGTGCAAACAATGCCGGAGGAGAATGTTACACTATTTTTCTACACAAGTCTCTTTTAATGAAGTTTCATTTTCTATGAGCTGACTGTGGTGTCATCACTCAGGCCAAAATGGTGGGTAGTGAACTGGTCATTTTAGCCTTGGCCATGTCGATGGGACAAGCATCCTCAAGTCTAGTGTGATTGGTCTCACCAATCAGTGTTGAAGAGGGGTGAGGCCAAGAGGCTTAGTCACGTGCCTGCCTTGACGTGTTGGCTGCCACTATGCTCTCTCCAATGGTCGTTTTAACCACACGTTCTATTTTGTGAGGTTAAGGTGGCGCCTTGCAGTAGTAACTTGCTTGTTTCGTCATCCTTTCACTTGTTTAGAGAATACACCTGATGGCCTCTGCTTGCGCCATGCCCGCTAAGAGGTGTGTGACTTGGTGATTGTGGGTTCAAAAAAATCACTACCATAAGTGGGACTTTCCGATTCCTATAAGGGATTTTTTGCAACCAGATGACTGGCAGGTCAAACACTGTTACGACGGAAAGGTGGTCAATGCTTCATATGGGTTGTAAATGGAAATGCGCAAAACTACCAACATTGGTAGTTAGCCATATTTTGTTGCATTACAATGATGTAACCGACTGAGCATCAACATCAC